CACCCTGACTGGCTCGTCTCCTCCCCACAACCCTTCTTTAAGGGGATGTCCAGTTGCCTACAGATGGGCTTGGGTCTCCACTCTGCACTCACCCACATTTACAATTAGATGATTTTTTGTTCTTTGATGCCTGATACCTGATCCCTTCGACACCTCGTGGTCACACAGGCTGGGGTGCTTCTTCCATGTGGGCTTTGTTGCTTCTCAGCTAGATGGCCGCTTGTTTATCTTCAAGCCTTTAAGACCTCAGATGCTATATCTTTTGATAGCCAGGCACCATAAGCTTTCTTCACCACATTTGCGTATGCACGCATTTGTCTTCAGAGTTTAGCTTTGTATAACCAACTTATCTCTCCATAGAGCTATCAGGTTGTACCACCACTATTTCTTGAATCACTGCTGGCAATTCAGGACCCACCACTTTGAGATGCCATTGTCATCAGATAGCATATGTCTTCGTACCAAATATACTATTGATTAGACATAGCATTATTTCAGGTCCCAATAAGAAAGAAAAGGTACTGTAAGGCAAACCTTTTACACACTGTCAATTTGTAAAGCATGTCCTGATATCCAAGTTGTAGTTCTTAGAATTTCTGAAATATAGTTCTAAATTCCCATTTGTTTTGGGGAACTTTATTTTATTTGAGTTTACAATTGAGACTTCATTGGCTTGCTTTCTGAGTTTTCCCATTAACCTTGTATCTATCCAGGAGCCCTGGTGACATAGTGGTTATATATTGGGTTGCTCACCTTAAGGTCAGCAGTTCGAAACTACCAGCTGCTCCATGGGAGAAAGACTAGCCATTCTACGTCTGTAAAGGGTTACAATCTCAGGAACCCACAGGGGCAGTTCTTCCCTGTCCTGTAGGGTTGCTATGACTCTGAATAGCCTCGTTGGCAGTGATGCCAGATAAACGAATTGGAGAGCTGATAGCTAACACACAGCTGTAAATCCGTATGTGTCTTACATGTATGTATGTACAGGTGTGTGTGAGGGTGGTGCAGGAGTGGGAAATGTTAAATTCCATTCAGTTGGTATGAGTCTGAACTGGCTCAATGGCAGCTAACAACAGCAGCAGTCATAAGTGGTGATACTGTCCTGGGCTCTTTCAGATCTTCCTTCCCTCTGGCTCTATTCTATTTAAGTTGTAATATCCAGGACAGATTGATCCCTTCAGGACCAGTGGTGGGAGAGGAGATGCCTGGAGGGTGGAGGGAGAGGGGGGTGGAAAGGGGGAACCGATTACAAGGATCTACATA